CCTCTCAGCTGCTCGTGGGCCACGGAATCAAAGGAATTTTGCCATAATATAAGAGGGAAAAAACAGAACGAAATGTTACTTACAATGTATCCAAAATGAATTTAGGGCGGGTAGACATTTTTCAGCAATTTCATTAATGGGAAAAGAGTTCGAGAAAATGGCAGGGGGGGGGAAAGCCCTCTTCAAGGCTTACATTCACTTTTAAACGTGGAGAAAAAAATGAAAACTTTCCTTGCAAATCCATCCATCCTGATCTTAATACACTTGGAACTGCATAAGGTCTTGCAGATCTGAAATTTATATTTCTATATATTTCGCTAATTGCAACTAATGCAAAATAGATTACTGCTTTAATCATTATTTAATGCACTTCATCTGTACTATAAATTCAAACCGCAGTCAGCGCATTTATTATTATGTCAAGTATGTATTGTCTATATAGCATTAAAATAACTACAGTGTAAAACATCTTTCCGCAGCAAACTAATTTCCAGTGTGTGTGTGTGTGTGTGTATGTGTGTGTGATTATGGCAAAGCCTCGAGGGCTATCTGCCTAAGGGAAGGAATGCCTTTGTGGAGGACTTTCTAAGGGAAACTGGCTCGTATACACGTTACACATGGGGAAAACCACGAAAACGTCCATGCAGCCAGCCCGTTCGCAACTAATTTCCAGAATTTCTTGTATTCTAACTTAATTTTTCAAAAGTTGTTGATCACTTGTGTTTAACTTTCCGTTTTCAATTACCGTGTGCTGAAAGCCAAAATATGTATTTTTCACGTATTACCTATTCATTCATTATTTTATAGTTTTGTTGCAAGACTCGATAATTTTCATTATTTTCATATATTCAAAAGTTTCAAAATTTTTGTAAATATTATATGTTGCCAAATAGAGCTGTATCGTTTATTTTACTATTATATATTTATAGATGAGTAGATTCACTTATGGTTTTTTTCAGAAAATTAAGAGTTCAAAAACTTTGGAAGAGTCAGCATGTCAGCATGCTTTCGCATTTAAGCGATTGTTTTTGAAACGAAACGCAGCCTAAAAATGTGGTTTGTTTAATTTCGGGGTCCTCGGGGACTCCTCGAGGACCCCGAAATTAAATTTTTAGTCCTCGAGGGCTATCTGCCAAGGGAAGGGATGCCTTCGTGGAGGCTATGCCGAGGAAAACTGGCTCATATACATGCTACACACGCAGAAGAAACACGAAAGCGTCCATGCAGCCAGCCTGTTTGCCTGAATTCGAAGTCCAAACCGAAAAAGCAGTGCTCAGCGACTTTCGTGCTAGGCCGCTGATAAGCAGATAAGTAAGGAGCAAAAAAACTTTCAAATTTTCTAATCAGACCTGTACGCTTTCTAGAAAGCTTTCTCTGGCATTTTACTAAAATCCTGAGTATACAAATATTTATGATTTTGTTTTACTACAGTGTATAATTCATAAGTTGTTACTTATTTTAAGATAAAATGGTATTAAATTTTCTAACAAAAGATGTGATAAATAGTAAGCTACACAAAAATTAAAATTCACAGACTTTTAAATTGCAAACATACGTTGCAGTTTGGGAGATCAAGTACAAGTATTGTAGGATTAAGAAACCAAAGCCCTTTCACATATTTAATAATTTTATATTTTTAATTGATTGCTTTGAGAAAATTGTTAGTTGTACTTGCTGTTACAGCGAGCGGTGAGCTATTATTTACAGATAACGTTTATTCATGCTATGCGTACTGGTTTATTTAAATCATGATCGATCTTAAAATACGGACTAATTTCTGTGCTCTAATTTATAATCAAATTTGAATTTTGAGCACTTTTAACTTCTCAGCACTTAAAAAAAATAATTATTTAGCATGTGGTTTAAGCTACGGTATTTTACGGAACAAATCTGACGGAAGAGGAATTTACGGGATTCTGTCGGGAAAACCGTGGAATTGAGAGATTAAAACCTACCTAAATATATGCATGTTCTTAAGAAACGTTTTATTAATTTGAAATTTTGTATTAAAATAAATATATATCTACTTGCCAAATTAAAGCAGTTAAAATATTCCAGGCCAAATTTACGAAATTGAAGATTGGTGCCGAGAATGGAAGCTTAATGCTTCCAATTAATGGAAGCAGACTTCAACTGCTTGAGGTAAGAAGACCAATCGAGAAATACAAAAAGAACCTTATTTATTTAATGAAGAAGTATCGAATAATCAAAGCTAAATATGCGTGGTTATCTTTTATTACAGTCTTAAATGGGATTAACACAACAATTACGCAATCAGTACAGTCTCACGTGATTAATCTGGACCTTAAAGAATTTCATCTATAATGAATATGAGACCTATTTTCTGGTATGCCTCCCCAGCCTGGGCAGCGGGTACCTCGACATATACAAATAAACTGCAAATTTTCCAAAATAAATAGCTATAAATCATCACTAAAGCTTGCATTTTCATCAGAAATTAGATGCTGCATAAGGACTTAAAGTTCCTCTGGTTAGCGAGCACCTCAGAAATACTAACGAAGCATTCTTTACTAAGGCAATTAATGCTTAGAAAACCTGTATGCTTAAAATACCGAAACGCCCGTCCCTGTACATTACCCGTCCGTCTTTTTCCTATCATCCCCGTCCATTAGCGCACAAAGAGGTTTGATTTCACATGACATCCTTCCTACTTCTTAACAAAGAAGCTTCCATTAGACTTTTAGGGCAAGCTGTCTGCAACAAACTGATGCAATGCATTTGGGAAAACTGCATCTGCTACTGTATAGCGTAGAGAGAAGGAAGAAAACAACATTGCAATCTCGACCGATTCGGGTGGTTTTGGTCGTTTGAATAAAGATACTCTCGGCCGTTTTGGCCTATAAAAGGTTAATAGATATAGTATAAATTATTCATTGATAATCAATTACGTAGCACTGGAAGAGGATGGGTTTATTAGATCATTCGCTGAGGACCTGTTAAGTGACTATAATTTTGCTTCCTAATTAGTAGCTTGTTTTACCTACTTATGCCGCCCAGACGGGAACTAACAGCCGTACCGAAGGGCCTGGTTCGAATCCCGGAGAAGGCATGGATGTAAATTGTTTTTTTCTTTCAAAGGAGATAACGGTGGCCGTCTATTAGGTGCCTCCACAATGAAATGACCGACGCTTCTGATTTTAGTATTACAAAGCCTAAAATGGTTAGTGTCTACCATTAAAAAATATATACTTATGAATATTTATATTCTTTTCCATGTTCTAATTTATAATTCATAAACATTTGTACATAATCTGATTAGTAAATAGATTTTTTTGCCTTGCCTTTTGTGTTATTTATCTGCATTGCTTTCTTATTCTTGAGAATTTGGATCTCTCTGCAGGATTGTATACTGTGAATTTTTCATGTGAATACTCATATTACACATTTTTGATTTTATTTCTTGACTCTGCCTGTCATTAATGCGGTTTTTATTGCATTTTTGTCACACTATTGTGTCATTTTTTTGTATTTGAAATATTACCCCTAAAACAAAGTCATCACTGCATCGGCATAAAGGTGTCTACTCTTCCTCCATTTATTCTTTAGCGCATTCATCTATTCGAACTTCAAAATCATAACTCTTGAACCAGTGAGGGCTTGGTCCATAGGATTATACATCTACACTATATCCATTATATATCCATATATGTGCCAAATTAGACATAGAAGAGCCGTTTAACCAGGATTGTAGTTACTGACGCTGAGTGCCGTACTGAAGGGCCCGGGTTCGAATCCTGGAGAAGATATGGATGTTTATAAATGTATAGTGCCTGTACAGCATGGGGGCACTCTAAATATGCGGCGAGCTAAAAGTCCTCTCGGGAGGCTGATGGTGGTAGGGAAGTGGGGTGGGAGGCTTTTGAACCTGTAGCTCCCATCGAATTTGGTGTCAGACCTGAGCAATGTCGTACTGTCACCAACATGGTGCTCAAGGCTCTTGCCAACTACAGGCACAATCTTGCACTCCTTGTCTCGATAAATTTCGTGGGCTTGCGGTGATGTTACTCTCAGATAAAAGAGATAAGTCACAACAACACGACACACAGACTTCGAAGACATTTTTTTTATGTTCATCAAACTAAAATGTAGAAAATAATAAAAATATTTAAAGTAATTTTATTATATAATTATAATTTTTATATAATAAAATATTTAAAGTAATTTTATTATTTTAAATAATTTTATAACATAATTAAAATATTATTTTATGCTTTCATGTCTGTTACATAAATCTCTTGTAGTTTACAAAGAGAGAGAAAATTGAAAACTTCTTATTAGTGATATTTCTGAGTTTGTTGCCGGGCGCCGAAAACCTTCGAGTCGTCCCTGCTTATTATTAAAGACTTCAGCTCCGTATTTTTAAAAAAAATTATATTCTATTTCAAAACTGGGAAACTTCAAATTTGTCACATAACTATACACAATAAGTATTTATACCGTTTTTAGTCTTAATTTATGAAATCATGAATATGAAGCCACATTAAAATAGACCTAAAACACTTTTCGAAATTCATTACAAAAATCCTATATTTTTACATTTTTCATATGTCTTTCAGATTTTGTTTCACATAGGAAATTGTTATTAAGATGCTCTAAAACTCTTCTGGCTAAGGTTAATATTTATAATTATTTAAATAATACGAATTTACCGAATAGAACTATTTGTAGTAATAAACTTAGTGCAATTTGCTTATATTCATTTTAAAAACATTAAATGACTCAAAAGTAATTACTGTCTTTAAACAAAAAACATAAGCAGTGTTTTGATATCTTGCTTCAAGATTCTTCTCAATTCCGTCTAACTAGTGAAATATATTTACATATCAGTTGTTTTGATATCTAACTTCAGTATTCTTCTAAATTTCATTTAACTGGTGAAGTATATTTACATACCAGTTCGCCAGGCAGCAGTATGCATAGTTTGTCATTTGCGCAACTATTAGTTGAAAAAGCTAGAGTATAAAACGAATGCAGTTGTGTACTGATGTGCCTTTGTATTATCGAAGTAAGACTGAATTTAGTTTTTCCACGATGAAGATGATCGAGCTTGCAATTTTAGTAGCAGTTCTATGCTTTCCTGCTTTTGGGAGCAGTTCCTTGGATACTGACACTATTGTTGACGAAGAATTACCTGCTACTATTTACGGCGAACGACCCACTACGGCTGCTCCGGATTCGACGACAACAGTAAGAATTGATGAAGCTTAATCTCTTAATTATTTACAGTTTGTGTAATAGTTTATGTTTAATACGGATAACTGTTTCATTTTAAATTCTCTAACTATGTTGAAATTGTAAATTTTGAAGGCCAAGTCTATTATAAGAAGCTTTTCTTAAATTAACTCGCTTAAAATTCAAATACGAGTTCTAAAAGTATGAAAATCTATTCTTATGGCCTGACCATATTTATGGTGGAGTATAGTAAAGGTAATTTTTTGTTCTCAGTGTGGCTACTGAATTCAATATTTTTAAATCCTGAAACGATAAATTTTTTATGTATAGAAGTAATGCATACTCCTTAGTTCAGTTTTAAGCGTTGAACTTAATCTCGCTGTTAAATTAAACATTACTTAATATCTAATTTACTAGTGAAGTAAATATTAAATTTTGTTAAAGGAATAGTCTTAAATTCAAATTGTACGTCGTTTTTTGTTGCAAATAAGCTTTAGTTTTGTTCATACTCTTAAAGCCCTTTAATAACCGGTAAGCATGTTTATAACCTGAGGGATTTTCATAGCTTACCTTAAGCTTTCCTTTTGATTTTGTTGAAACTATTTAAAGTAGCTTGTAACTGGCTTTACTTTAATTTCTTAATTAAATTCGGATTTTAGAATTATTCATAAAGTTCAGCGTCTTGCTCTTCAGAATGTCTAGAATACCAGAAAAAGGCGAATGACCAGTGACTATGCTTCTAAAACTAGAAACAATATTTCCCCTCGAATTTCTCTGCTGAGTAACCTCTATTATTTTCGTATTTCCCCCCCCACCCAGTTTCAATTTTAATAGGGATCTAATTGCTATAGAAACTTCACCGTAAGGTATGTCTTATACCGAGTTGTGGAGTTAACGAAATTTGTGTTTAACTAATTTAAAACCTTTTTTGATTTTCCTAACCTGTCAGAATTCAATTTTTAACCTGGAGATGTTCATTTCGTCTCCGACTGTTTGCGTTTCCTTCGAACTTAAACGTCCTTCCTATTTAGGTTTATTTATAATTAATAACTTAATTAGAAATGTGCTTTCGGGTAAATGGATTTCAAGGATTTAACTTTAAATTCCATTGTTGATGTTGCCTCTTTTAAGCAATCGTTTAAATCCCACCAAATCTCCTTTAAAGCCCGGTAATGTTTTCAGATCCAGCGGAGATAACTATAAATCTTTCTAAAAGTTTTCGTGTTCAAAGTAAACTTGAATTCCAATAAACCAAAGCTCTTTTCCTTGCCCGTCGTGTAAGTCGCCGTATGCAATTAAGCTATCCAAATCTAGCAAAAATAAAATGCTGCATCGTAGGGTTTAATATTCAACTTCTAAGTCTATTTACATCACTTGTAAATATCCGAAGTTTTACTGTGTCTTTCATTTTTAAAACTTCCATTTTGTTGCTTTTTTAATGCGAATTTCGACGGAAATCAATAGCTGGAACATAGGCAAAAACTGTGTTTACCAATTTCTTTTCTTGGATAAATATTTTAATTGAACGTTTGCCGCGAGTAAAATTCTATAATAAAGAACTTAAATTTGTATGGTTAGCGACATGCCGAGATACGGAGAATTCAATTCTAATATGAAAAACAACGTACAGTTATTTACGAGAATCTTCATTCCTACGAATGGGGATGACGGAATTCTTCAATTCTATAGAATAGCTAGAAAATCGCGAGTAACTTCATAAATAGGTTTATAAGGTACTTAAATTTCGGAATAATTCGAAGAACTAAAAATTGGTTGAGTTCAACCCATACTCAAGAAATGGGTACTTTGTAATACTTCAGAAATGAGGATAGGTAAACTGATTTTGTTAAACAATCGTTGCTAATCTCAAAACTTCGATAATAGAAATAAGCTTTAATATATGTACAAGATGCGGTAAGCGATTTCTCAATTATTTTTTATAATACAAGAACGTGCGTTTAAAGCTGATGAAAATACTGGTGTCCATAGTAATTACAAATGGAATCATAATTAACCCCAGTTTTTTTTCTATTAAAACTTAATTCATTCCTCCTTTGCAGGCTCCCAGAGCTATTCCCTGCTCAGGCATACCCTGTGGTTATACAATTTTCCAAGTTTCGACAACAGTTTCGGAATCCTTCGTCAAGAATGAGTATGTATATTGTAATTTATTTTTTCTACTGATTATTAAGAGATTAAAGGCAATTATCAGCTTTAATATTTAACGAAGAAATAGTTTCAATACTCCTACGTCATTCTGAATCGGATTGGAAAGAGTTGTCCTTGACATCAAGTATCGTAGTTAATATTTGAAACAAAGGTTTACTGTAAACAAAAATTTTCCTAACAGTTGGTTACGTTCTCAAGTAAAAACTGCTTCCAAATAGTTAGAACGAAATTTTAACACTGTACACAGTGAGTTAAAGTAATGAAGCACAACACACTTATGAAAAGTTTACATTTAAGGTTTGCACCCCTTCATTACAAGCCATAACTTTTAAAAAGTGACTAATGTTGCATAAGTATGGAATTGTTAACTCCTGTATAAACGAGAAATCAGTGGTCAAATTATCTACTTAACCGGAAATAGTATCTCGAGAATAATGTTCCGCTTTCTTTTCTCTTAACTTTAGTGTTCTAGGTATGAAATTTTGACTTAGTTTCCTTCATTTTTCACACTGTCCGAGGTTTTTCTTAAGTTCATTTCTGTTGAATTTCAAATTTATCTTGGAGATAATATCTGCAAAGGATATTATCTCCAAGATATGAATATTTTAACATACTTCTTAATCTGAGTTTCCTTGGTTTGTTACCTTTCATAGGTTTGGTGCAGATAGATTCAACGTTTTGTAGTGCAAACACATATCAAACTGTCTAAATAGAACAGAGGTCCGGATTTCGCCAAGGCATTTTGATCATAGGAATTCTACTTTAAATATGAGTATAGGGACCTTTGTCCTGACAAAGATGACTAAATATGCCAGTTTTGAGAGCTGTTTTAAATTTGTTTCAAAGTATTTGATTAGATTTTTATTTTATTATCACTAGATGCACATTATAACTCGAGACAGTTTGGCTACTTTCCCATATTTTACTGAACTCGCAGGTTCTAAGAGTTCAGCAAATGGTTTGCTTTCCGTTACTCCCGAAAATATAGTTTACCTTCATTTACAAATACATCTGTTCTAAATTTTCAGATCTTTAATGTGGGTTTCAGGTAATTGTATTCTTTCCCTTAGATTTGTTTTACTAATAAACATTTATCCTAGTCCTTCGACTATGAAAGCCATTCTTAACTTCAGCAGGATTGCTACATATTCTTGTCTTATAAATTCTAAATCGCGTGATTTCGGATCTAATATTTCATGGTGTATTTCGGTGAACCCTTAAGTAGTACAGACCTGCTCTTGTTTCCGGATTTCTTTCATGTTATTTCGAATTTATGTTGCGAACAAAATTAACTTGCATCTAATAACCTATTTTCCTCGGATGTTCCCTCCCCTCGATTTCAATGAAGGTTTTCAAAATTAGTTTCTCCCATTGATAATAAAGTGCTTCATCAATCATTAACTTCCCAGTAAAACACATGGAAGTATTTTAAACCTGGAAATGTCTGACGAGAACTGTTATTGCGCTGCGCCAGTATTTGTCTTTAATTTCGTACATGGATAGAATATCTAAATTTCTATTGGCGTTAATTTTATTCTTATTTTAGCAGAGAGTATTCGCCATATTATTGAATGGTGTTTAAATCCATTTAGCTTAGGATCGGAACAGTGGCTAAATTTTTATATTTGACTAGTTCGGATAAAAATTCGGCTGAATATTTGAAGTTTTCTAAAGTCGTCTTACCTTTAGAGTTCATCTGTCTTTTATAACACAGCTGGCGTGCGGTTATAAAAAACCTTCAGATTACTTCCTTATGCCCTTGTAAAAGTTCTACCATTAGAAATGGGAACGTGCCATTCATTACGAAATTACCTGACCAGTGGCGGAGTTGTTGACTATTGAATACTAGGTGGGGGTTGATCTCCGTTCGATCACAGGCAAACGGGCAGCTGCCGTGGTTAGTTCCCCGTCTGTAACTAAAATGAGACAATCTTTTTGGAAAGTCCTACACGAAGACATCCCTTCCTTAACCTAATAGCCACAGTGTGCTTCGCCATTCGCCACGTTCAAGTAACTTAACCATTTCGAAATTCTCTAGTTGTAAGTCCTTTTATAACCGAATCGGGGTTTTGCATTTTTAATTACTTCTAAAATGGTCACTCATTCGAAACTTGGCTTCTCAGCCGTCCATTTTAAAGAATTTCGCCCACTACAAGAACAAATCAAACTTCTAAAATCTACAGGATGTTGCGTAGTGTTGAAGTGGCCAGTAATAGTGAATGTCGGGGGAACAGCTGAAATCTGTTTTAAATTGGCCACATGATTTGACTGTGCATGATTAATGTGATTTTTTTTTTCTTTTCACAGCTGTGAGTGCGAAACAGGAACAAGATGTTACCTGAATGCTCTTCAAGGCTCGGCGTATGTGTACCGTTGCTCTCAATTTGGGAACGAAACTGATCCCGTCATCAACCAAGCTACTGTGCCGGTTGAATTTCCTGCCCAGACTGGTAGCCGAATTCTTCGAAGGATCTCTATTGATGACCAATAAGTCAATGATGTTATCTACTGGAAAACTGTTGCTTGGATATCGTCCACGATTTGATTAAGACTTTTCATTATAAATCGTTCTTAATGTTTAAGTTCAATAAATTTACTTGTTATATTTGTGAGCTTTTTATTTTGAAGTGAAAGGATAAAACCTGCCAACGAAGTACACAGAACGTCAAACCAGAATGAAGTTTGCTGTTTAGATTCTATGAGCAATACTGAAGCATAGTTAAGACCACCCTAAAAAATCTGAGCTATTTAAGCAAGTTATTTGTGTAATACACGGTAAGATGACTGATTTCTGAGGTAGCCTCTGCAGGATTTTAATCGGTGCGGTCATTAGATAAAGGACGTTTTAAAATTAAACATTAAAAAGGACCTGTTTCGATGAAAACTTTATATGAAGCTTTTAAACAACTGCATTCTTCACTTTCTAAAATTTCCTGACATCTAACATCTCGGACATAAGTATCGTAAACATCGGATATTAACATGCCTAATAACTTCATTTCATGGTGTTTGGTTATACAACGTGCTCTGAATAGTTCTCTAGACGTCCATGCACCAACAGATATTTCGCAAATAAATCCACAAAAGCTTTCAGCCTCGGTTAATTTCTTCGTTGTCGAATTTCTCTTAACGTAAACGCATTTCTTAAATTATTTCGAGAATTGAAGTATCAAATAGAATGATTCAAACTGTTTGTTTAAATGACCAACACTCCTATACGACATAACCGTAATTATCAATGGAGATCATAAAACGGGATCGTTTTCGTTAAATGACATTTTGCTAACCCAGATTACCAAAAGCGTTTTCAGATATGAAGTAGCTTATTAAAGTTATAATGAATCTGGGGAAAAACTCCCTGTTCTCTTGATAATAACTAAAGGACTTTCATCTCCTCAAGTACTTTATGGGGCTACTTCCTGGCACTCGAGCGAGCACTTGCCCGTAAAACTTACTTAAGCACGTGAATTAATAATAGTCTTTCAATGCAACTATAATAATTGGAAGTTTAAAAGTAATTTCCAGATTGTGAAGCTGTAAACAGAACACGCATTACATGGTAATTAACCATGCATTAATGTAAATGTAATACCAGGATGGAATTAATTCTTGATATTTTAATCGAAGAAAGTGCTAGAACGGAACGATTTGAAAACATGTAGTAAAATTAAAGATGATGCATTATTGGTGGGCTTAACTGTAGTTATAAGTTATCATACGTTAAGTATATCCTATATGTGGCTATAAGTTATCCTGTATTACGTTTTCGAACAGGAAATGTGAGGCCCACTAGTGATAGAGCGGTAAAATCTCTGCAGACTGGTAGTTCCGACCTTGGCTGGATTCTAGTTAAACGGGCTGGCTGATTTTTTGCGGTTTTTCCTCATTAATGTTTCTTAGAAGCTTAATGTTCTTGCAGAGAGCCCTACTGTGCTTTGCCGTCATCAATTAAGCCACAAGCTTTTAACAGGAAGTGCTAATAGTTTAATGTTGCAGAAGCAAACCCGCTTTTAAAAAGATGGCATAGGTTTTTAAACGACATACTGTTGTCTGAAATTATGCAACGCTTTTCCGTACTGCGCATTCACTTAATTGTATACGTTTTTGACGTGTATGCTGTAAAGCCAAGAGTCTCCTTTTTTCAGAAATGTCGCTACCGCGGTTGGTATGTTTTGTGAAAAAAAAGGGGGGCCAAAACTTAAAATAATTGGCTCCAAAATCTCCGTAAATTGGCAAGAAAACAACTTTCACCACCAACAACGAAACCTTTACGAGATTTGCAAGTTCCAAAATGTTTGTCTATATCCTGCTCACTCGAGTATTGAGCGATATTGCTAATTGCTTAAGCGCAAGCTGCATGGGCGAGTTTTCAGTATGGATATGGATAGCTTGGTTTTTTGATTTTGCCAAAGCACGCGAGAGCTGTCTGCGTATGACTAGGAATGCCTTCGTGGAAGACTTCCTAAGAACAACTAGCTCGTATACACGTCACATAAGGAGAGAACCATGAACGCCTATGCAGACAGCTCGTTCCCCGGGATTCGAACAGGATACCCTCGAGCGAACTACCAGTATTCAGTAATTTTACCGCTGGGCAGCTGGTGGGACCCCTTTGGGTAACGCTGAAAAGAGTCTGTTTAAATAGGCGTCTACGAAGCTACTCTTCCCTCCGTCAGATGGCTGTCACTTGCTTTGCCCAAATCGAATCACAACAATTTTATTGTCATCACCTGTAATCATTTTGAGAATACATGTTATTCACAAAGACTTAGATTCTCCTTCAAACATATGGCATATATATTTCAATTTTAAGTTCAACATACGCTTTTGGATGCTTACATCAACTAACTTTCTGAGTACTGTATTTATCTGCAAGTACGTACCTATCTAATAGATGTTATTGCAAGGCACAAAGATGGAAATCTGATTATTAGTTTAACACATTCCATACACTTGCAATAAAGCTATGAAATATTTTAGTTTCCCTAATTTTCGCTTCTTAGTCATCCATGAACCTTCTGGTCCCCTTCTAAACTTTGCATGTTACTAAAGCTCTCTAATATTTCATATTATCGTCACCATACACCATTTGCAATAACTGCAGGCCCACCAGTGGCTAAATTGAAATTAATAACTTAAGAAAATCTTCGTCGCTGGTGTTTCGTCCCAAGTGTAGAACCAAGCACATAGACTTGATCTATGGGCATTTGCAGGATATTAACCATTTGTAATAAGAATACAAGCCAGTTTTCCTTCGGATGCCTTCCACAAAGGCATTCGCTTTCTCAGATAGATAGCCGTTGTGTGTTTTGCCATTATCGATTAAACAAAGAAACATTTAACAAAATGTCTAGTACTTTAGTAGAAAATGTTCCGATTGCTCTGAAGAATTTTAATACGGTCCTCTCAATTGCGTTGCCCATTTTTACTCCAGAATTCATATGTTGATTATAAATTCCTTGCCCAGTAAATAATATCGGTTTGAAATTTATGCACTTGTTAGTCCATATGTGTTCACACACGAGTATTAAGGTGGTACTGATATAATACAAACGTTAAGGCGATAACAAGTAACTATTCCAGAAAATAAGTTGTTTCCTCTTGCAGAGAGTTTCCCATCGCTGTAAACATACAGGCATTATTCCCATCAGATTCGATGATTTTTAATAGTCTGATTGTTTATTTAAGTTAACTGGATAGAAATCCTAGTGTCAAAAGTAACTAATGAAACAGATTTCAAAGAATGACAGGATTCGGATTAATTTTTGGCATTTTGGTGAATGTGATTATGGTAAAGCTTCAATGGCTATCTACCTAAGGGAAGGGATGCCTTCGTGGAGGACTTTTCTAAAGGAAACTGGCTCGTATACATGTTGCACAGGGGAAAAACACGAAAACGCCCATGCAGCCAGCCCATTCGCGGGATTCGAACCTCGGAACGAAACTACCAGCGTTCAGCGATTTTACCGCTCTGTGGCTGATGGCCTTTTCGCGTTTTGAAATTAAAAGCGAATTTTTTCTAGAACTCTGACTACAGAATAGTCACAAGAAAAACTAATATATGCCGTGTTCATTGTTATATCGGAAGATTTGGAGAAAAGATTTTCGGATTACAGAAAGCATTAATTGCATTTCAGCTTGGGTAAAGACAGGCAAACGAAACAAAGGTTAGGTTATTCGAATATAGCAAAGCACATGAGAGCTATCTGTCCAATAGAAGGAATGCCTTCTTGTATGATGTTTTAAGTAAAACTAGCTTCTATTTACGTTACATATCAGGTCAAACAAAGAAAAACAACCATGCAACTATCCCAATTCCCTGGATTCGAAACCGGATCGACTTACTAGTAATCATAGACTTTGCCGGATGACTGAAAGGTAGATGTGTATCATGTATTTTAGACTTAAATTGAATATTTTCTTAAGAGTGGGTACAGATTGTGCATTAGTTTGTTCCTTACGTAGGTCCCGTGATCATTTCAGGTGAGATTTCGATAAAAAGTGTCTCCTAAATAATTAACAAAATTATATTTATAATTAAATTTTCGATGTGAGATCTCTAACAATTCAAATGCAAGCGTTATTAAAAAATCTTAATAAATTGAAACTGTCATGTAAACAATCAACAAGGAATTTTGAGATATAAAAAATACCCATATGGTAAAAAAAGTACCCTTCAGAAAACTTACCCCATATAAAATGTACCCATCTGTAAAATTACCCATATGGACGGAATAAAACCTTCAAGACAATTTTTTGTCATCAAGTGCAAGCATTTTGAGAGTACATGTTGCTCACAAAGACCCATATATATGCAATAGGTTTGAAACAGAATCTTTAACAGCAGGAGAATATATTTCAAATTTTGAGTTCAACGTACAATGCTTTCGGATACTTACATCAGCTAATTTTCTGATCTTTATGGGCACTATATTTTACTTCTAATCTGCAAGCACGTGCATAACTAAAAGAAGATATTGCAAAATACAAAAACAGAAATCAGATTGTTAGTTTACACGGCATGCAATTGGAATAAAACTATAAAATAAAACTATCAAGTTATAATTTTCTTTAAGATAAACACGTTTTTGCTTGGTGTCAACTTGAAGTAGCAAGCGTAAATTTCCAAATAAGACAGATCCAGTCAAAATTTCATTAAAATATATACTCCTTTTTCCTTCAAGCCGATGATCAACCAAAGTTTATTTCACCAATACTTTTAAGTAAGTTCGAATATGTCGCTTACAAATATCATTTACTTATAAACGCAATGAAGATATCAAATTATCTTTTTTTAAAGTTGAATCAAAAATATTTTGAATGGTGATTGCTTTCAAATGCTTATTTAGAGGCAATGATTTCAAGAAAGATTTCAAGCGTGATTTCATAATGTCGCATTTTGAATTTCTTCTGCGAATGCAATCTCAGTATTTGAAAACATCTCGTTTTTAAAGGGGCCTTGTTAATTAATCCCTTCCTTTGAGTTAATCTAACTTCCTGAAATTTCTAGAAATACCATTTAAAGACTACAAAAATCATATTCACAAAATTTACGATGTCGACATAGTAGATATGAATATATTCAGATTGCATATTATGCATATTGTTATTATTTCATATAATGCATCATAACCCGTCTTTCATATTATGCATAAAGTATGAGCGGAAAACACCATTCGCCCGATGAAATTAGTTGGAGGGCTTGCAGGTTGGTGCAAGACAATTCGTTACCAAAGGGATCAAAACCCCTGTAGAAGATGTTGGTCTGAACGCCGGAGGGTTACCACAATGGCAGACGATCGCTTCCTGTTACTACGTGCAAGATGCCGTAGATCACTTAAAGTAAAACAGCTGGTGTCGCATTCCTATGATGCTGCAGGACGGCCCATGTCCCGCCAAGATTTCATGAAGGTGGCACTGTGCGTCCGATGACCTGCGGTTTGTGTTCCTCACAGCGTGGTTGAATTGGGCCTGTGAACACTTGGACACCAGAGCAGGCGAGGGGCAACGTACTCTTGACAGACGAGTCTCGATTATTCAGAACATTTTTCGAAGAGCAATGATATGGCGAAAACCAGGGACACGCTATCGGGCACCAAACAACATCGAAAGAGACCATTATAAAAGAGGAGGCTTACAGGGATAGCAACGAACTGCCACACTGATTTCTGATTCCTGGTGGTTCTGTCACAGACCACCAGGAATCACATTGCGACGAAATTCTGCATCCTCTTGTGTATCCTTTCCACAACTCCCGCGGTCTGCTAGATCATATAGGACACATCAGTACGATGGATAGCAGGTCGCAGTGTGCCACCAGGTACTCTCCACGAGTTCCGACATGTATTACTACAGGAACGGGAGCTACTATTTTAACAATCAAGAACACTATTGAAAGCTTGTCTCGTCGTTGTCAAGCACGCATTTCATCTAGGAGAGCGGTTCTCAACCTTTTGACTAACACATACCATCTAAACAAAAATTGAAAACCTTTAGTACCACCACTACAAAGTACTACTACCACCACCACTCTTGAACAAAGCTCAGATCACATAAATTTAAGAGTGTTAGAGAAAAAAACTCAATGAAGATGTTGGGGTTTTAATTTTTGAATTTAATAGTTAAATATACTTTGCTTCTTTGAGTACCACCAGTTGAGAATCCCTGATCTAGAGGGTATCACAACCGTTACTACCATGATGTTTTCGTTGCACATTTTTCTTCCGACCCATTTGGTCTTTCGCGATATGATCGTCGTAATATATATGTTTTTGTGTGCCTTTTCTTATTGTTGGCTATGGGGTCTAGTAATGCTACACTAACCTCTCGGATCTATTTCCCGCATAGCCATTAAATAGTTATTTTTTTATTCCGTGTTTTACTTTTGTTGCTTATTTCTTGCGCAGAAGTATATATACCATAACATTCATACCGTTTAAGGTCTTAATTATATTCACGAAATCCTAAAATATGAAAATCTATTAGAATAGCCTGTAAACTTCGAAATTCATTACAAACATACTGTATTTTTACATTTTGGATCTGTTTTCGTTAAAATTTTATTTAATACAGCTGATCTGACATTAAGAGTCTATAAAACTTTTTTGGCTTAACTTATTGTAAATAATCATTCAAATACTATGAATTTATCTAACAGAATTTATTGGTAGTAATAACTTTTGTGAAGTTTGAATACATTCATTTTAAAAATAATAAATGACCCAAAGGTAATTGATATCTTTAAAGGAAAAATTATAAGCAATGTTTTTATGTCTAACTTCAATAGCTTACAAATTCCGTCTAACTGGTGACGGAATTTGTAAGCAATTTTGGTGAAGCACATTTGCATATCTGTTTAGAAGGCAGCAGTGTGCGTAGTTGTTATCTGCGCAGCAACTATTTGGCGAAGAAATTAGAGTATAAAGCAAATGCCATTTCGTGTGTAGTTACGTTTATGTTATCGCAATAAGACTGAATTAAGCTTTTGAAGATGAAGCTGGTAGGAATTACAATTTTAGCTGCAGTTCTATGCGTTCTTGCTTTTGGAGACGATTTCTGGGGAGATAATGATACTATTATTTACGAAGAAGAAACTACTACGGCCGATCCATTTTCGACGACAACGGTAAGAATAGATGGAATTTTCATTCTTAATTGCTTTACAATTTATGTAATAACTCATCGCATACGGATAATCGTCACAAATGTAATCCTTTTTATGCTGAATCCGTGAACATTGGTATCTTCTATATATAACTTATTTTCTAATCGAGGGCTCTACGAAAAGTTAACTTGCTTTTTAATGAAGTAATGGGAGTCTATCACTAAACGTAAGATAAGAATCTTTGGAAAACTTAACTTTCTTTCTCTTCTAATGCAAACACTGAACTCTGGATTATTTTGAAGGCATTACAGCGAAACATTTCTCTGTATTTACTCAGTCAAACATTATCCTTTCCACATTTCAAAGCTATGAATAAAAAATGTGTAATTTAATACTGACGTAAATCGTAAGTTAAGTTAATGAACCTTAAATCCAAATTATACTTTAGAAAAAGCTTTCAATGTGATTGTTTTAAAGAACTGAGTGATACTGGTCACTTACTGTAAAAGCTTACTCGGATTTCCTTTAACTACTAAATGTAAACTGCACTTAATATTATGTGATGTGCGTTCCATGTGACCTGAGGCCCACCAGCGACCGAGCGGTAAAGACGCTGAACACTGGTAGTTCGGTCCGAGTTTTGAATCCAGCGAACAGGCTGGTTGCATGGCCGTTTTCGTAGTTTTTCTACATGTGTAGCGTATATACGAGCCAGTTTCCCTTAGAAAGTCCTACACGAAGGCATCTCTCCCTTCAGGCAGATAGCTCTTGTGTGCTTTGCCATAATTGAATAATCCTAATCCATGCTAGTGGGGCAGGTCTAAAGAACTTTAATGTGATGAATTTTAATTTTAACTTTAAGCTTAACTAAATACAGCATTTTGTATTGTAATGTATGTCGCATAACGGAGAAATGTGATCAACTGGTGCACATGCAACTGAGGTTTGAAGCATTTAATATTTTACCTCAACTTTCTCTCATCCTTTGTGAGGTTTTTGTAGTCAATTTAATTACAATTTAACTGTAGGCATTAAATGCTATAGTAATTTGCTTACGAAGAATCTTCTTTTGCAGAACTATTGAACTAATGCGCTTTGCCGTTACACAACATAAAACTGAGTACCTCTTTAATTTTATCTCATTGAAATTGCATTTTACCTACAGAAGTTGACTGTTTCCCACTACTTGCTTGCACTCCTAGTTGTCCCAAAGCATTTCATAATTAGTTTTAATACTAATAATTTAGTTATAGAGGAGTTTTGTGGTAAATGTCTTCTATTCTCTTAATCTCGCTATGCATCATTCATACTGACTTCCTCTTAGGTGAATAATCAAAACATTATCAAACCTTATTGAAGCCCAGCGTAACGGATGGCTGCATACTTTTTCAGGAGTCTCTCGTAATTAGAGTAAACATGGACCAGTTCCATTTAAAAAATAAGATTTCCTTTTACTTATCTGGAAGCTGTAGTGTTCGTCTTATTCAATTAAGCTATCGAAATCTGCCAACGTTGAAAGGATAGTGTTTCTCATTAGATTTAAGTGTTTTTATTTTTAACCGAGCTCTAAAAACGTCCTCAACTATGATCTCGTATAGGTATCGTAAATCCGTACGGGATGTACAGAAACATTCCTTGCTTTATTTTTAATATTCTGTTATCTTGACTTTTATTTCACATTAACTCTGCTTACTAGCTTGCTCTTGTCTTTATAAAACCTTATTTAAAGAAAATTAACGTTTACAAGGGCAACCTTGTTTCAATAATGAATAAAAATTTTAAATTTCTTAAATAGACAAATCGTCATTATTGGCGACATATACAGATGCTTAAGATTAGTTCTGTTTTAATAAAAAAAACAAAGGCCATGTGTTTTTGAATTTTTTATGCTAATGTTTAGTTTCGCCTAAAAGTAATTACGAAGCGGCTAATAACTTGCTTAATAACTATCAAAATTGATTTACAGAATTGGAAATGGAAAAAGGAAATAGATTTACATAAATCATCCAGAATGATGCACGGACTTAAAAATTGTTTATTCAATCCATACACGCAATTAAATATCGTTAGGAAAGAGTAATAAGCTGGCTTTTTTTTTTTTTGAAGAAATCGGTTTTTAATCTTAACTGATTTTGTGAATGAATGAACTTTAATAAGAGGCAGTAATTGACTTATCCTGAAATGTTTTAGATTATCAAAAACTCGTCTGCTTTTAAACCAACTGCAGTATGAATAATTAACTACAAGGGCGATAATGTGTAAATTAACTAACTTGCTTTCCTTTTTTATTTTCAGGTTCCCACTGTTAATCTCTGCTCAGGCATACCGTGTGGCTATGCAATTTTTGAAGCTTCAACAATAGTTCTGGAATCTTTTGTAAAGAACAAGTACGTATAATTTTTTACCCATTTTATCGACTGCTTTGCGAGGTTCATGCGAAACCATTTAATTATAATTATTCTCACTTCTAAATCGGACTCTAATTAATTTTTCTTCAGATTAATAGGAATTATCTGAATTTAGTGGATACTTGAAAACGGTCTTGCTTAAAATAACAACGTATTCGGCATAATTGGACCAATTTACTACATAGCTTGAAAGTATTTCGGTGTGGATTCTTAACGTTGTCGTTGCCGTTTTAAAGCTACACCACAAGAGAACAAGAAATAAGTTTAAAGGAATATTTTTTCGTACAACCATATTTAGGGCTATGCAAAATCAGCGCCACACAATTTACGAAAGGCTAAAATGTTTTAATGTTGGAACCCCTTTTGACTTCAGAGTTTTCCCAGACTTATTTCACAAGATATCGATATGTTCGTTTTCGCTTTCTGTGGGGAGTTTTTCTGATGGTTAACTTCTACTGAAAGTGTTAAATTTAATAAAATTCATCCCAAATGTGCTTCGGACTTGAGATCTAAGCTTTACGTAGGCTTTCTGATTATGAAGAATTTTCTGCAATTTGCTACAAATATGAGCATTGTTTTCCATCGTAGCCCTATATGTTGATTACATATTCGGTCCATTTCTTGTGAGCTTTGTATAAAGTTTTGCTTTAAAACATTTTTTTTTTGATTTAATAAAACGCGGATTCATTGTTGCAAGTACTGGTACAGTCCCAGACATCTGTATATTTCCGCCATGTCTTATTGAACGAGTGAAATACTTAATTTCCAGTTCCATATTGGATTTTTGCAAGTGCCATCTGCTTAACACCACTACCAAAAATACTGAATTTACTTTATTCTACAAATGCAGATTAATTCTAAATTGAAAGTTTTTAATGTTGGTCTTTACAAACTCTAATCATGTCCTTGATTCTCTTTTAAAAGCGGTTTTATTCTAGATGTTCACGTGTAGAAGTGAAGTTCTTAGAATAGTTAAGTTTCTTCATTTCAGTAATTGATAAATTTTCATTGAGCCTCGAATCAATTTTACTGGAATGATTTGATTACAAATATTTTTAATGTTCCCTGTCTTCTTATAGTCCAATGCTTTAGATGTGCTGTTATGAACAAGAGATTTGCTTATATTTAGTAGTTCGTCTGTTTTCATTCCAATGAAAATAAGTTCCCGTGTCACAGAACTGCCAGTCTTTCATCCCTTGTTAAAGTGGTTCATCAGCCATTAAAATGTTTTCTTGTGAAAACCTGGAGAAAGTAGTTGAAGTAGTTTGACTTGAAGTAGTTTGTCGTAATTTATTTTATCACGTTTAGTATAGCAATATCCTAATGCCTTTGTCTTTAATTTCGTATTTTAGCACTGGATTTATTCACTGAAAGTTTAGCATGCTATTTAAACCAGAAAACTAAATTTACTTTTGGCATAACTAAATTTGCCCAATATTTGGGAGTTTTTCTGTGAACCAACAGCTTTAAACCAACAGACATAACTTCCATAAAATCAGCATAAACTCTCTTGCCTCGTATAAAGCTACGGTTTCTTTGTTGGAAGAGTTTCCATAACACAATCGGTTAAGTTATGGACTCGAATTATTTTGAAAGTGGGGAGCCCTAAAAATATTCTTCCAGTTTTAACAAAGATTCTTTGCTCACTGTAAACTAAACTGTCGGGAACATAGGAAGAAGGTGGGAATTTTATGAAAGAGTTAAAATCTTTAATATGCATGACATTTTTCTTCTTTAAATGTGTAAATTTCTTTTCGCAGCTGCGAATGCGAAACGGGAACTAGATGTTATCTGAATGCTCTCCAAGGTGCGACATACGTGTACCATTGCTCGCAGTTTTGGAACGAAACTGATCCTATCCTCAACCAAGTTTCTGTGCCGGTTCAATTTCCTTCCCAGAGTGGTAGTCGTATTCTTCGGAGGATATCGATGATCAACAACGACGAATAAGTGTGGTGCTGCCTACTTGGAAAACATTGCTTCAGTACTGTCAAAATTTGGCTTTAAATATAAATTGGTCTTTACACCAGTTTAGTTTCAATAAACTAATTTACCTACCATACTTGTCAGTTTTTATTTCAGGATATTATAATTAAGCAAAGAAATTTTACAAGTTTTGTTGAGGTTTTCAATTTGTAGAACCGCTTGCAAGAATTAAAGGGAGGCCTATTTGAGTATAAATATTATATGCATTCTTTAAACAAATTGCATTTGATTTCGATAGTTTTTAAATATCTTTGACATGAGCAAATAATGTTTTATGATTTCCAGTTTTACCAACATAGGCCGAACACATTTCTATAAATATATGCACAACTTTACTTCTAGGAAGAAACTTTCATTAGTTCACTTTATGTAGAAAAATTTCAGTGACAGTTCAAAATTAGTTCGGTGAACAAAGAGCTAAATAGAATGATTTGAAACTTGTTGACTACTTGGTATGTATAAAAGAACACTGCAAGGAAATCCAACCTACACATTCAGTAGTGACCAAAAGGCGTAATTGGGTACATTACTGTAAAAATCCTTTTGAGCGTCTTGTCCAATACCGCAAGATTAATATTGTAAATATGACTTTTCCTATAACAGAAGTAACTATATAAATTTACAGAAACTTTTCTTAAATGTGACTAAATCCATAGATTCCTTTTACAGTTTACAAAGTTTTACAGTTTACGAAACTGCCTTAAATTTAAATGCAGATCAGAGTTCAATGCGCCACAGCGAACGACACATGTATATCCTTAATTTGGGAACTAAAAATGTTTTAAGATTTAATAAGTATTATTCGCAAATTCATAATAGAAAGTATCCTGGCCTTTCGATTAAGATGCGGAAAGAGTGCCATTTCTTTCCTGTCTACCTTTATAGTAGATCGAGTAATGATGTTTAGACAGCAGATATTAAACTTAAATATCTGTGTCTCAAACACATTTTGTCTTAGCCTTGAAAAATTTTACTACTTGGTGTTAGAAAAACATTAGTCAGGAAGACTGAATTTTTTTTCCTCCAGCAAAACTTTGTTACTTAGAAATTAACCAAAGCGTTTAGTTGACGAAACAAGGTTCTTGTATTAAACGGTTGTCACAGAAAAGTTGGTCAAGGAAGCTGTGAACTCCAAGAAAACCTCGATTGTCTCAAGACACATGAGTCGTACGACTTGAATCTTGCATGAACTGTACAATACTTTGCTTTCGACTAAACATTTAGTACTGGATTTTATATGCAACAAAGTACGTTCACTTACACTTAAACTTGGTCTCCAGAGAACAGACTTAATTCTTTAATGACTATATACTTGTGTAACTGCTTCATTTCAATAGCGTGCAGATTCTGAACAGGGTGTTGATCTTTATTGTTCATTTACCTGTGTTTTCTATTGTAAATTTCATTTATCTAACTATGGTTTTCTACTTTAAAAGTTTTGCATTTATTGTTACCATTTTTGTTACTGTAGGCGGCTGTCAATTACTGTCTTAACTATTCTGAAAAATCTTAATATAATAACTTCAGATGTATTTCTTGACCGTATGCAATATACCTAAACAACTATGCATTTTGTACAATGTAAACTTTGAAATTTTGGTTTTGACAACTAATGCCCGACTGATCTGTTTTGTTACCAACCTAAGGTTGTGGCCAGCAGATAATGGATGGTTTCACCTCTGAGTAACAAATTCCGTTTGTTGCCTTTAGGCTAACTTAGGTTAGAAGTTGCTCAGTATGTCAGTGTTGTGAAAAAAACACGCACTGAATTGAATACATTTAGATTTCCGATGCGAAACTCATTTTATGGGAAGCAATTTTAATGAAGGGTTGCAAAAGTATGTGTTAAAGGAAACTATTAATACCAGCACTTATGTTATGTTACGTGTATAGGTCATTCTAATTAAGAATAAAAAAATTTAGAAATAAAATGTTATTCATAACTTCAGAAAACTCTACCGGAGACAGAACTAAATTTAAGATGAACTTAATAAAAGCATATTGGTTTACATTCAATGAAGTTTGATATATGATCGGTGTTAAAACACATCCTTAAAAGAGGCAAAAATTTAATTCCTCAAATGCAGCTTTATAAATTAAATGGGTTGCTTGGACATCTGCTAAAAATAGAGGGTAGTAGAGCGAATGAAAATGAGCATTTTTGTCGTGAAATATGTATTTAGAAATAATGCGTTTAAGCGCCAGTAGGTTACGCTGGTAATGGCAGTTGGTATAATCTTCGAGTAATCGTGTCATATCCTGGCTGGGATTTGAAGCTGTCCATTTGATCTATGGGGTAGAGAATGGATAGGGTTCAGTTTGGACTACTCCATTGGCCAATGTGTATCGCCAGTTTTTTAACGTTTGGATTTTTTCTTGTCGGAGGCTTTGAGAAACAGTGTACATGATACCTCCACCGACTCCAAACAGGCTATTATTGTCAGTCTGTTGCTACCGAAGATATAAGGGACATTTTCGCATCTTTGAAAATGTATGGCCATCCATAAGCAAATTCAGGGCTGCGCTATGCATTTTTGTGCTCGGTGTAATCATTGCGGATTCTATATTCTTTTGCCTTGCACTTCCATAAATGTGTTTTGGTGGTGGATTGTTTGAGCATCTACTGTAACAACGACACCATTAAAAAGTTTGAGATATTTTCCGAACACCCTGTAAATATGTAATCATATAATATAGCGGGTACTGTCTCTTTGTGCATCAATGTTCAGATTCAAACGGCATAACCATTCCTGGAATATAGTCGTTATCTGTAACGCACTTGAGTACCGATTTCATATTCAGTTGGGTACCAATTTTGAAAATTAAGAGGAATAATAAATAACTGTCAGGATACTTTAATGATACTTACTAGGATACTTTAATTAGGTAATCGCATTTTGGGTTAGAAAATGCTGCGCAGTGTATTTTACTAGGATTTTGCTTGTGAGGTGTGGACTTAAAAACAATATTTCATATTTTTTGTTCCCTATTCTCCTGTTAAAACAAGTCTGTTTCCTGAATGAGTCTTTAATTATTCAGCTATCAGCCTTACTCGGATATTTTTTTCGTGATAGTAATGCATCTATGTTAATTTTAACATCCATAATTTTCGAGTTTGGTTGTAGGCTTCTAGAATCATCCGTCACATTTTCTCGTCATTGTAAATATCTCACTATGCATTATTATAGTATCCTCACGATACGAAATTTGAAAAAAGAATTATAAGCTCACCAGATTAGATAACTGAATTTTGGTAACTGAATTTGTCCGACCCAGGCTCGAGTCTAGAAGAACTGGCTAGCTGCCTGCTTTTGTGCTTTCCCACAACTGTAACTCGAATTTGAGCCAATTTCCCTTAGAACATCCTTTATGAAGCTCTCCCTTCCCCTAGGCAGATAGCTCTCGTGGTTTTCCATAATCAGTTACCCTCACTAAACCTATTGTGTCAAAAGCAATAACACATTGTACCACATTTGGATTGTTTTCACGACACTTCTGTAAACATGCAAATATCCTTACTATCAAGGTTGGATAAATTTTAGTTGTTAGGACTGTTTAAATAAACTGGATGTGTATCTTTAAGCTCAAAAGTTACTAATAAAATATTTAAAAGAATGAGAGTATTTGAGATTACGTTTTGGCGTTTCTACGTTGAAATCATAGCCGACTGCAATCAGATACACCACATAAGAAATAATTTTTGAATCCGGTCAACTGGCCAAGCAGCGCAATTTAACGCCAGTTCTGGATGACTAATTATGAATGACCGTGTTTTTCAGAATTAAGCAGTAACGATTGGCGATTGGCAACCGTTGCCCAAACACCAGCGGTCGACGGGATAATACGTAAATACCGTTTCAACTATGCAAAGTAGAGTTTTAAGAATCTTGAAGGCATTCTAAGTTCATGGATGACGGGTGCCCAAGAGGAGCACCAGCCGGGTTCAAAATCTGGCGAACTGGCTTTTTGCATTAGCATTTTTTTAATCTTTGTGTGTAACGTCATTATATCACCTTTCTTTCTAGAAATATCCTTGATGAAAGCATTCCTTCTCTTTGAAAAATAGTGGCGCAATAGGGCCAAATAGTAAAAATAATGAACACTAAGAGTTCAACACGGACTTAACTACGCATTCGCTAGTAATTGTGCGGTAAGGTCGTTGAATACTAGTTCCGTCGGGGCTCGAATCCCAGCGAACGGGCTAACTGCATAGGCGCTTTCGTAGTTTTCCCTCATGTGTAATGTGTATACTATCCAGTTTCTCTTAAAACGTCTTCTACAAAGGAATCCCTCCTCTTAGGCAGATAGCACGAGTGTTTGTCCATAATTAAACAACCAAACCAGTTTCAAATTCCAGCAGGTGGCATGGAAGCTTTCATAACTTTCCCCATGCATAATGCGTATCCGAACCATTTTACTTCAAAAAATCTACAATGAAGGCTATGAGCTTCTGAGAAGGCTGCCTAGCCACAACATTAAGTGAATAGGACTGTAACACGAACTTAGAAATTATCTAAAAAAATATAAAAATTACACAGCTCGAGTTCGAATTTAGCAGTACCGTTAGGGTTCACCACTGTGTTGTACTGAGCCCTCAGGGACGAGGCTAGTCATTATGTACCCAACTTAATCCGATATAACTGATCACCCACAGCAATGTAAGCTCCAAGGTAATCAGTCTCTGTGGGTCTAGGTCTGTTAGTTGTATTTTCCCTGAGGAAGGTATGTTGCCTCCCTCCACCAAATAGATATGAACTTCCACGAGTGCATTCCTTCCTTTAAGAAGAGAGTCTCGGGGTACTTTGCCGCAATCCAAAAGTTAAAATTCTAGGAAAACAGCTTTCGTATATCTGACAGTTAACCAGTCTCTTCACTAGTGGCCCAATGGTTAAGACCGCTTAATTTCTATCCAGGTTCATTCCAAACAAAAGATTTGCCTGAATATTTGCATTTCGTTGTTTTCCGCGTGTAATATGAGTACGAACCAGTTTGTCTCAAGAAATCCTAAACAAAGATATTTCTTTAGGTAGAAAGCTCTCGTGAGCTTTGCGATTCCCAAGTAAACAGAACCATTAG